TATGGGAGTAATGTGGTCCCTATTCTTTTTCTTTAGTACAAGCCTAGCAGCATGATTTTGAAAACGTTGTAACTTGTGAAGAGAGGTATTTGGTAAGTTAGCTAGTAAAGCATTGCAATAATCGATGCGTGAAAACAAGAAAGATGACACGAGCGTTTTCAACACAAGTTACAAGTAACCGCTACTCTATAATTTTACAAAGTTGTATCTGCTCAGTGTCTAGTTTTGAGAAATTTGCCGAAAAAAATAATAATTAGAGTTTCGCAATATGTCAAGCTTTTTTAAATGAAATTCTTCGATTATCTTGATAATGACTCGGAATAAACTTACAATTTTGATAGAGCAGACAGAGCATTTGAGTTCTGATCTCATGGTCTTAGTAACTCAAAATAGCCAAAAATACCAGATAGAACGTTGTTACTCTGAGGTAGTGAAGTAGGCCTCACGTTTATATTATGTTACATTGTCTTTGAAAATAGCCTTTCTGACTTTGTCTTCTTATACTAGGAGATAAAATCTCCACTAATAATCTCCTTTTATTTTTTACATTGTCGAAGTTGTACTCAAGTTATCATTTGGTCACATTACCTAGGTTGACTCATAAGTCAAAATATAAGTTGTTTCAATCACTGGTGATAAAATATTCGTATTTGGCCCACTTAGAAACTGTAAGAAAAGGGAATGGTTTGCAGTGCCTAGACGAAACTTCGACATCAAGACTGAGCTACTTGATCCAGCATTACTTAATGTCTACCCAAGGAGTGGGAAGTGGTTGGTCGTTGTACAGGTGATTATCTGGGCCCAGGGAGTCATAATAGCAGATTCTTCGTTCGTTTGTTTTAGTAGAGGTTTTTCGGCGCTCGCAACTGCATAAGGTCATAATATGAGCGCCAGAAGATTAGAGGTGTTACAAGAGAGTAACAAACATAAAAAAAGAAGGAGGGGAGATAAGGACGATAGATGTTTGATGGGAAAGAAGAAGCAAACCACACCAGAGCACCCGCCAACCATCCACGACATTGTATTCAAATGATCGAAACCTGGAATAATATCTCGACTGTAAGAATTGCAGAAGACAGCTTATGACGAATATACGAAAGCGACAGGGAAATTTCTTCGGACACACAATGCGGAAAGAAGCATTGGAGAATGTTGTAACAACAGGCAAGTTTGATGGAAAGAGAGGCAGAGGCAGACAGAGGGAAAATACTTGACAAGATGACAACGTGGCTGGGAGCGGCAAGAACAACAGACACCATTGCTGCAACGCAAGACAGAGTGAAGTGGAGGTCCATGATCGCCCACGCCAGTCGGCAAGGCACCGGGTGATGATAATAATAATATCCCCACCTCATTACATGTCTTTTATCACAGGAATCACAACATCTAGTTCTGTCATAAAGTAAGGGGCGTCGGTGGTCTAGTGGTTTGGCTACAGGACTCGTAGTCGTGAGATTGCTGGTCCGGAGATTAGTGCTGGGCGGCTTGGTTCCAGATTATTGAAAGCTAGGAATGGTAGGAATCGACTCCAATCCCAATTACTTACTTGCTAATGTTGTGATTTCTTCCGGTAGTTACCTGGTTGGCTCCGAACATCTTCAGGATTTAGGATAACCTTGATTTCGGAACACTCCGAAGCATCAACTATTATTTTTCAAAAATAAATTCTTTAAAAAAAGAAGATTTTAATGATTAAAGTAACTGGTAGTCGTTGGGTCTCGTGAAAGGGAACTTTTCTTCAGTTGCATTAGTCGTGGGAATCGGTTCCGAAACTGATCCTATGCCCAGCTCTGCCGGAGATTGGATCGAGCCTCAGCTCGGTCCGACGTTGTGTCCTTGAGAAAGGCACTTCACACGAAGTTTCCGTTTGGCTCGCTCCTTTCGGAGACGGACGTTTAAGTCAGAGGTCCCGCCTCTTTTACAACCTAATAGTGTTGATTGGGGCTTTAAACATATGTGAGGCAGCATGGTGGAATCAGGCTCTCGTCAAAATAATCAAAGTGACGGAACTTGCATTTTTCTGCAGGTTTGTGAATTTTTATCAAATTTTTGTTTTTTGGCTCAACGCCTTTCATTCCCATTAAAGAACTCATTTCTGTGTGGATTTTTCTGAAAAGCGTTGATTAAAGGCACAAAAATGAAAAATTTTCAGTTACCACGGACTCTTAAGCTAAGGAAATAAGTAATCTTTGGCGGCCATTTTCTCACTAATTTTACCTCTGAAAACAGGTGACCCCACCTCCTTCTCTCGCAAATATCTCAACCTGTATTCAAGATAAAAGGATATTTTTTTCCATCCAAATAAAGACAAGTGAAAAAGCTTTAAGATGATACCAATAACTTCACTTGCCCAAAAATTGACGAGAGCCTGATTCCACCACGCTGCCTCACATATGCACTTTGTAATAAACTAAAACGGGTTGTTTTATGAACCTCCTCAATAAACAAACATAAGAGTGGAAGATGAGGGGCCATAAGTTGTACTCGACGTTTGCAGTTCTCGTTTCTAAATGGGAGAAGCTTATATATATATATCTCAAATATGCAAAATGTTATAATATTGTGTGCTCTTTCTGATGAGTGCATTTCGCAGTTTTAATAAAAATGCTGTTGTCTGCCTTATACATGGACGGCAGGTGCTTCTATAAATAAATTATTGATAGTCAAGGTCAAGGTCAAGGTCATGTCTGTCTTGTTTGTGCTTAAGAAAAAGAAAGCATGAATTTTAAAAAATCTATTTGAATAAGGAAGTTATTTAAGAGGCTCAATACACTACTTTTCAAACCTTATATCGAATGGACAGAACGCCGGCCCTGAAAGGGTTAACGAGCCTGAAGCCACCTGGCACTGGTCACAAGTGGAATAACGTCTAAGTATCCTTGTTTGTTTGGGTAAGTGTTCTACGGCGCACGTAACTGCATTAGGTAATGCATGTATGAGTGCGAGCTTAAGTATTCGATGAAAAGGTTCATGGTCTAATTTATTCTGTTTAAAAATATGTGTCACTATGTGTATGTGGAATCAGGCGCTCGTCAATTTTTGGGCATGTGGATTAATGGTATCATCTTAAAGCTTGTTCATTTGCGGTGCATTTAATTAAAAAAAAAACATTTCATGAATCTTGAATAGAAGTCAAGACATTTCCGATTGAAGAATGTGGGGGTCTCCTGGTTTCAGAGGTAAAATTGATTAACGAGAAAACGGCCGCCAACGTTTGTTAAAGTCCATAACGTGAGAATTCTTTGAAAATGAAAGTTTATATTTGGTGTGCTTTTAATATACGTTTTTGAGTTAAATCCATACATAAATATGTTTTTTAAATAGACATAAAACGTGTTGCCAAGAAAAAAAATCAATAACCCCCAAACCCCCTAAAACAACAATTAAAAAAACAAACAAAATCTTTAAAAATTGTCAAATCGGCGGAAAATACTGCACTCTTCGCTTTCATTATTTTGACGAGTGCCTGATTTCACCACGTTTCCTCACATATTAGTGGGTGGTTGGCGGGTGCTCTGGTGTGGTTTGCTCCTTCTTTCCTATCAAACATCTATCGTCCTTATCTCCCCTTCTTCTTTTTAATGTTTGTTACTCTCTTACTTGTAACACCTCTAAAATCTTCTGGCGCTCATATGACCGTATGCAGTTGCGAGCACCGTAAAACCTCTACTAAAACTAAACATATTATATAGTATGTGTGTATATCTTAAGATTATTATTGTTTATATTGCTGCTCATTTATATTATGCATGTGATTGTAAGCCTGCGTGTGTATGTGTGCGTGTGCGTGTGTGTG